CGTGCTCAGCGGCATCGAGTTTGAGCTGCAGGGCCGCTACGACCTTGTGAATGAGGCGGCGGAGTACTCCACGGTGCCAGGCCCCCCGACCTTCGAGCTGGTGAGCTTTCACCCTGTGGTGAAAGGAGCCTGGAGCAGGAGGTCGGCTGCCACCCAGGCCTGGGCGCAGGCTGCGCGCTGGGCTCGTCACCTCAGGCGAGTTCGAGTGGCATTGCAGAGTTTCGTGCTCCAGCTTGGTCCGCAGCATGACTTCGAGCTCGGCAGCGTCGGCGTGGTGCATGACGATGGAGTGCCTGGCCTGGTCGATGGTGCACCCCCTGCCGCGGAGGTCGTCGGAGTGGCTGGTCTCTCCTCCGATGGTGGTTGGCCTCGGTCGAGAGCGCAGCGACACCAGCCCCTGCGTCGCGCAGGCGAGGACCCATCGTGGGACGCCGTACACTCCAAGGCGGCGCGCCACCTGCTGGAGTGCGAGAATTTCTTCCAGAGGATTTGGCGGAGGAAGGGAGTCTGGCCGCACCTGGACGCCGAGGCCGTCGGTTTCTTCTCGCGTGGCATGCTGGTCTTAGCGCGGGCAGACTTCGAGCAGCAGGTCGACCGCATCCTGAATATCTCCTCTGATGCAGAGGCCAAGCATGAGAAGGCCGCGTCGCAGAGCTGGAGACAGTGGGCGCAGGCGGCTTTTGTGGCTGGCGCTAGGGGAGCTCACCGCTTCCTGAAGCCCAAGGCTCTCCAGGAGATCGTGGACGGAGGCAATGGGCTGCAGCATGGGTACGAACTGGCCGACCGTAAGCTGGAATTTTGGGAAAGCTTCTGGGCGCGGCATGGTGGTGAGGCGGTTCGCCGACCTGCTGATGCTGACGCTTGGGAGCAGCTACCAAGGCTTGAGGCGGCTGACGTGCTCAAGGCCATACGTTGTTTTTCTTGGCAGACAGGTGTCGGGCAGGTCAACATCGCGCCCAGGGCCATGGAGCACCTCTCCCGCGGGGCGCTGACGGCCATGGCGCGCCTCTTCGAGCAGTGTGAGTACCTGCTATTGTGGCCAGACGGCAGATTCATTTCGAAACTTGTGCGGCTTCCCAAGCCAGGGGGTGGGGAGCGTCTGATTGTGCTGATGAACACGCTGGTCAGGATCTGGGGACGGGCGAGGCGGCCTGTCTCGGCAGCGTGGGAGAAGGCCCATGCGCTCCCAGAGGTTTGGGGCCACACTGGAGGCAAGTCGTCGAGTGATGCCGCCTTTGATTTGGCTCTTACCAAGGAGATGGCGACCCTGTGCGATGATGACGCCATCATTGTGTTGCTGGACATGCTCAAATGCTACGAATTGGTCAGGCATGATGCCATATTGTTGGAGTGCAGGGCCAATGGATATCCCATGAGAATGGCGTTTATGCTTGTGCAGATGTACCAACAATTGCGTTCTGTGTACTCGTACTCGTCTTACTCGGTGGCGCGCAGGGCATGTCAGGGCATCCTGGCAGGCTGCACCCACGCCACGACGCTACTGATGGTGTTGCTGACTCGCAGTATTCGCCAGACGATGACAGTCGCTCCTCAGGTCCAGCCCAAGGACTTGGTGGATGATGTCGCGCTGTGTTGGGTTGGCAATGACCCGCGTGGAGTGCGGGAGATGGCCATTGCTACTCGTGCGTTCTGCAGGGCTGTTAGGCCCCTCGGACTGGTGCTGCAAATGGATAAGTCTGGTCACCTCACGACGTCCAGGCGTACCAGCTACCACTTCCAGAAGTACGCCAGGCTGCTGAAGATCACTGGCAAGAGGCACATGCGGTACCTTGGGCACGATTTAGCTGGGTCATCTGCCACCAGAGCCGTGCAGAAGGATCGCCTGAAGTCTATGCACGGCAAGAAGGCCAGCGTCCGTGCCTTGCAGAAGGGAGCAGGGCGACAGCGAGCGGCTCGGCTTTGGGCCACGGGCGTGTTGCCATCCGTGGGGCACGGAGCCACGGTCAGCGGCATCAGCGACAGGGAGCTGCAGCAGATGAGGAGCATGGCTGGCGTCTTCTGCGGCTACAGGGGGTCGGGCTCCCTGACGCTGTACCTGGCCGCGCAGAAGTGGAACTTCGACCCCATTTTCCACGCTACCTGCAGCATCGTGGGGCAGTACGCGGCGTGGGTGTGGGATGGGCGTGTGACGCTCTCCCGCCTGCAGCGTGCCTGGATGTGCTTGCGTGACTCCTGGGATGTACGCGACACTCACGTCACTTGGGCCAGTGCACAGGGCCCGCTGTCGGCGATGTGGTTGTCGCTCAGGAGAGTCAACTGGAACATGGCCAGCTCCACTATCTTGGTTGATGATGAGGGCCTGCACATCAGTCTGTTGCAGTATTGTCCCAGTGAGGTGCTGTTCTTCCTGCATCGCAGCCTGGACCGTTGGCAGAGCCACCGCATCCTCGACCAGCTTCCTGAGGCGCCCCCAGCCGATGGTGCAGGCAGGCGGCAGCACGTGTGGCTTCGCGCGCTTCGGCTGGGCCACGCCTCTTTGGCGCCTGGGCACAGAGGGGCGCTGGCCAAGCTGCAGTCCAACGGCTTCTGGTCGCCGCAGCGCCGCAAGCAGGCTGGCTACAGCGACGATGGCTCGTGCGAGTTCTGCGGGGAGGCCTACTGCGACCTCGAGCACGAGATCTTTGGCTGCAAGGTCTTGCATCAGCAGCAAGAGGACGAGGAGACGGAGCCGTACCCTGAGGACGTCGCCAGGAGGAGGAAGGACATCCTGGAGGCAGCCCCGTGGCAGGACGGGGGCCAGGTGCAGGACTTCTCGGCCCTGGACGTGCTCTACGCGCTGCCCATGAGGCCTGCCTTCAGGCCGCTGCCTGCACGCGCTCAGGCTGAGCGTGAGTGGGGGGCGATCGGCCTGCCGTGGCCGTCGAAGCTGTACGGGGACGGTTCGTGTCTGGAAAGTGACTTCCCTGAGGAGCGGCGCTGCGGATGGGCCGTTGTGGCCTTGACCCGAGACCTGTGGCCGTACAAAGCTCTGTTCGGGAGCCTGGGGGGCCCCATCCAGTCGGTGCCTAGGGCCGAGCGGGTGGCTGGTCTCAAGGCCCTGCAAAGGGCCCAGAGGCCAGCCACGTACGTGACCGATCATTTGCAGCTGCAGGTCGAGGGAACGGCTTGGGAGGGTCGTCATGCTTCTGCCAGAGCGCCTCACGCGTCAATCTGGCGGAGCATCCACGAATTGTACAGGGGCGACCCTGTCAGGCCCGTTTTTGTTTGGACGAAGGCCCATCGCACTGTTATCGAGGGGTTCGATGCGTGCCTGGCATCCCAGGAGCCCCTGGAGCATTTTTTCGGCAACATGTGGGCGGATGTTTTCGCCAGAGTGGCCGCGGCCGACTTCCTTGGATCCACCTCCGTGGTCAAGGCTCACAAATTTTCTCTGCTTCGGGCCCAGGACACGATGCGATGTCTGGCCTGGGCGGCCGAGCGTGTGGCCCGCCTCTCCTCCCCGATCCTCCGTGCGCCTCCGAGGGCCGCGACTCGGCCCCGTCGTCCGCGGCGACCGACCGATCACGATTTCGTGGCCTTCGCTGGGGGAGCGATTCGCTGTCGTGCCTGCTGGAGGCAAGCCTCGACGGCTTCGTCGTTGAAGTCTCTGGCCTCCCGAGCGTGTGACCCCCAGGAGGTCGGGCCAGGACACCAGGTCCAGGCCTTAGATCGTGTCCTGATTTGTGTGAAGTGTGGGGCGCACGCTGTGCGCCCCAACCGGCTGTCGTTCGGCCTGTCTCGAGCGTGTAAGAGGGCTGGGACGGGGTCGGCTGGAGCTGGGAGTGGGGGGGACGGAGCCATCGCGTGGATGCTCGAGCAGGCTCGCAGGGGCCTGCATCCCAAGACGGGCGTGCCCCTCGAGCCGCTTGTCTTCTCGGAGCTCGAGGAGCCTGCGATGCCGCCGCAGGAGCCCGAGCCCGAGGCACAAGGATGAGGTTTGCTCCCTTGGTTCTCCCTTTCTGTCCCGAGGCGTGTTCGTGATTCACTTGCACGCTCTCTGCATTGTCTCCATTGTCTCCCCCTCCTCCTCCACCTCCTCCTCCTCCTCCTTCTGTTCCTCCTCCTGGTCCTCCTGCTCCTCCTCCTCCTCCTCCTCCTCCTCCTCCTCATCCTCCCCCTCTCCTCCTCTTCTCCTCCTCCTCCTCCCCCTCCTCCACCTCCACTCCTCCTCCTCGCCTCCTCCTCCCTCCTCCTCCTCCTCCTCCGCCTCCTCCTCCTCCTCCTCCTCCTCCTCCTCCTCCTCCTCCTCCTCCTCCTCCTCCTCCTCCTCCTCCTCCTCCTCCTCCTCCTCCTCCCCCTCCTCATCCCCCTCCTCCTCCGTATCACGCGCCCCCTCTGATAGCGCGAGGATTGCACCAGGGATCCGGGCAGCAGGGCTCCAGTGGCCTCAGGGCGCGGACGTCCCTCCCTGGCCGTGCGCTCGGGGCTGCGCCCAGGTTTTGGCCGTCATGGCAGCACGATCGGCTCCGAGCACGTCCGCGCGAGTGGCGGCGGTCGAAGAAGAGCAGAAACTGTTGGCGCTCGGCGCGGATCTCTTGGATCCAAGTTGGGGCCCCCCTGGCGGCGCCTCCTGCGCCGCCCGGGGCGCGCCACGGGCCGGCGGGGGGGGGGGGGTCCAGCGCAGATCCGAGATGCAGTTTTGTTCTTCTTTTACGAGTGGCGACAGGGAGCGCGGTTTTTTCATGCTTTTCGTTTTTTTTCTCTGGCGAGTCCCAGCAGCAGTTGCTTGGCTATATGGCCGTCCGTAGAGCCTCTCCGAGAGGTGCATGCTGCGTGATGGAAGTTCCGCTCCTTTGAAGCAGATGTCGTTTAGAGCTTCGAACGTCAGAGCTTCGGACATCACTCTTCAAACTAGCCATCCATGCGACTGGTCTCGTGTATCGATCGACGTATAGTGGTAGAGGCATGGCTTCAGCGGCGAGGGCATCATTCCGCTCATGGCGGCACAGCACAGTCGCTCTTGAGGTGTCCCTCTAGCTCACGCCGCTCACGCTGCCGAGGACGTATTGGAACAACCTCGACGACGGCGACAGGTCCTTCTTCTTGTACTACCACGCCGAGACGACGGTGTGGGTGCTCAGCCCCCTCTTCTCCGAGGGCAGGGACCTCCTGGCCGAGGCGCAGCAGGGCCAGCGGACAGGCGCCGCGCCCAGAGAGCCGCTGCCATTTTCTGGGTCGGATGGAACTCAGGAGGGAAAGAAACACACAGACACAATTAATCGTCGATTCCCAGAAAATATAGGAAAATATGGGAAGTGGGGGGGAAGACAGAAACCCAGAAAATATGGGAAAATATAGGGGGATCCTTTTAATTTGTGTGTATTTATTTGTGTGTCCCAGGGCCCCTTCAATTTTCTGGGTCGGATGGAACGGGGGGATGGGGAAATCGAAAAAATCAGAAGACGGCAGAAGCAGAGATTTTCGGCGGTCCGCGCGGATTTCCTGGATCGTCGCCGGAGCCCCCCTGGCGGCGCCTCCAGCGCCGATCCGGCGGATCCGCGCGGACCTCCAGGAAGTCCATGTGTGTGCCGCGCCCCGCTCCTCCTTAGGACGGGGAGGCAGCGAGATCTGCTGCGCGCAGCCAGTTCCGACCCCGCCGCCAGACGCCCGTCCTCGATGCACGGCCCGGTGGCGGCGCCGGGAGGCGCCCGAAAACGGTATGCGAGGTGATTCGCTGACGCCCCCTCTGCTGTCCTTCAGTCGGGCCTGTCCCTCTACAGGAGGAATATTCAAAAGTAGTTAAAAAACAAGTCAGGGGACGATTATTTGATTATGTTGAGCATTTTTTTAGTATTTCTGGGGTATGTTTAATCCTTCGTCCAAAATCGGCCTGTAGGGGGACATGCCCGACCTAATGCTGTCCCCGCATTTCTCAGCCACGCGCAGAGGGGGTAGGGAGAGGGGGGAAGGCTTCTCGGAAGCACCCCTGGCTCTCGAAAGGCGCGGGCCTTGATAGATGCAAGGCCAGCGCCTTCTAGGAGGTAGCCTCCTTCGAAGAAGCCTTCCCCTCTCCCCCCCGCCTCTCCCCTTTGGCGCGTCGCCGACTGCTATCGCCGCCTTTTGCCCGACCCGACGGGCGGGGTCGGAGGATCGCGCCGCATCGCCGATGCAAGGGCGAACCCGCGGCACGGCGCGATCTGGGCACCGTTCTCCTCCACCTCGCCGTCGCCGATGCATCGGCGACGGCGAAGCGACCCTCGGCGGCCCTCGGCTGCGTTCGGCGGCCCTCCGCGGCCCCGAACCGTCGCTGCCGCCGCCTCGTCCTCCTCATCGCCCTCCTCCGCCTCTCCCCCTCCCTGTCCTTCTCTTGCGGTCCTCCTCCCGATTGTTTGCGTCACCCGCCTCATGGCCGACCCGTCGTCGTCCTCCTCATCGCCTCGCTAGCACGTCTCGTGTTGTCGTTTCCTCCGCCTCCCCCTCCTCCTCCTCCTTCGCCTCCTCGTCATCCTTGTCTTCCTTCCTCCTCTTCGTCGTCCTCCTCTTCCCCTATCCTATCACTGTTCCTCTGCCAGCTTGATTATCCGCCTGCTGCTGCCGGACGTCATCGCCAATTTCTTCCATCTGGCCACCGCGTTCCTGCTCCATCCCTCTCTCTGGGGAGGAGGAGGAGGAGGAGGAGGAGGAGGAGGAGGAGGAGGAGGAGGCCGAGGAGGAGAAGGAGGAGGATGAGGAGGACAGCGAGATAGAGAGATTCCATGTTAGTTCGAGTGTCTTTGGAGGTTGTATGAGTTTCTGGAGGTCCCAGAAGATTGATGGGATCCAGTATGTCTGCCGTTTCCGCACTCTTCCTCATCATTTCTCCTGATGTTGCTCCTCCTCCTCCTCCTACTACTACTACTACTACTACTACTACTACTACTACTACTACTACTACTACTACTACTACTACTACTACTACTACTACTACTACTACTACTACTACTACTACTACTACTACTACTACTACTACTACTACTACTACTACTACTACTACTACTACTACTACTACTACTACTACTACTACTACTACTACTACTACTACTACTACTACTACTACTACTACTACTACTACTACTACTACTCCTACTCCTACTCCTATCCTTATCCCTTATATACATATAACGGCGCACCTGGTCTGGGGGCCCGGGGCCGGGACCACGACCGCAAATGTGGGGACCGGGGGCTCTGGAGGCTCGTCGGGGCTTGCCGGAGGCCTCCCTGGTCAGACAAGACGGCCCCAGGAACGCCCAAGACGGCCCAAGAAATTTCCAAGAGGCCTCCAAGAGGGCTCCGAGATGCTGAAGATGGCCTCCAGACGTCCAAGGACGCCCCCAAGAGGCCCCAAGAAGCCTCCAACATGCGTCCCAAGAGGGCCCCTAGACGCAAACATTGGCCCATTCCCTTCGTAAAACGTACATTTTCAACAAAGTTCTCTTTTGGGCTTTCCGACGTTACAGGACGGCCCAAGAGGCGCCCAAGACCGCCCCAAGACGGCCCAAGAAGCTTCCAAGAGGGCCCCAGGACAGCCCAAGAGGGCCCCAAGACGGCCCAAGAGGCGCCCAAGATGGCCCAAGAGGGCCCCAAGACGGGCCCAAGAGGGGGCCCAGAGGGGGACCACGAACCGCAAGCTCGAGCCTTCCGCCCCAAGAGGCCGCCAGGAGGCCCCCAGGAGGCCCCTCAAGAGGCCCCAGGAGACCCCAGACGTCCAAGGACGCCCCCAAGACGCCCCAAGAAGCCTCCAACATGCGTCCCAAGAGGGCCCCTAGACGCAAAAATTGGCCCATTCCCTTCGTAAAACGTACATTTTCAACAAAGTTGCCTTTTGGGCTTTCCGACGTTACAGGACGGCCCAAGAGGCGCCCAAGACCGCCCCAAGACGGCCCAAGAAGCTTCCAAGAGGGCCCCAGGACAGCCCAAGAGGGCCCCAAGACGGCCCAAGAGGCGCCCAAGATGGCCCAAGAGGGCCCCAAGACGGGCCCAAGAGGGGGCCCAGAGGGGGACCACGAACCGCAAGCTCGAGCCTTCCGCCCCAAGAGGCCGCCAGGAGGCCCCCAGGAGGCCCCTCAAGAGGCCCCAGGAGACCCCAGACGTCCAAGGACGCCCCCACGACGCTTCGCGTCACCAATTTCTTCTCACAACGATTCCTGGGTCTGTGACTCGACAGAACCTAAGCGCGCGCGAAGCGCGCGCGTGGTTCTAGTTAGAATATACTCCTACTCCCCCCTCAGGCCGGCAGATAGGGGGCCCATCCGGGTGGTCCCATCCTAACCTGTAAAAAATTATCCCGGCAAAGCAACCTAACAGCGATGTGTAGGAGCATATCTGGAAGCATTCCCCTTAAGATTCAGATGAGAATCCAGTTGTAGAATCCTGCTGTTCTCGCAGTCGTAGTCGCATTCGCGATGACAGTCGCAGTGGCAACGGCAGTCGCAGTCACAGCCTCAGCCTCAGCCTGCCTCAGCCTCAGCCTCAGCCTGCCTCAGCCTCAGCCTGCCTCAGCCTCAGCCTCAGCCTGCTTCAGCCTCAGCCTCAGTCTGCCTTCAGCCTCGGCCTCAGCCTCAGCCTGCCTCAGCCTCAGCCTGCATCAGCCTCAGCCTCAGCCTCAGCCTGCCTCAGCATCAGCCTGCCTCAGCCTCAGCCTCAGCCTGCCTCAGCCTCAGCCTCAGCCTGCTTCAGCCTCAGCCTCAGTCTGCCTTCAGCCTCGGCCTCAGCCTCAGCCTGCCTCAGCCTCAGCCTGCCTCAGCCTCAGCATCAGCCTGCCTCAGCATTCAAAATGTGGCCCGGGAATGGAGTTCTGGGAACTCGAAGAACACGAAGTGGCCTACAGTTGGCTCCGGGCATTCAAAATCATGCCCAGGAATGGAGTTCTGGGAACTCGAAGACACGAAGTGGCCTACAGTTGGCTCCGGGCATTCAAAATGTGGCCCGGGAATGGAGTTCTGGGAACTCGAAGAGCACGAAGTGGCCTACAGTTGGCTCCGGGCATCCAAAATGTGGCCCGGGAATGGAGTTCTGGGAAGTCGAAGAGCACGAAGTGGCCTACAGTTGGCTCCGGGCATCCAAAATGTGGCCCGGGAATGGAGTTCTGGGAACTGGAAGAGCACGAAGTGGCCTACAGTTGCATCCGGCCCTCCAGAATGTGGCCTGGGAATGGAGTTCTGGGAAATCGAAGAGCACGAAGTGTGTGACTGTTGGTGAAAAACGAGCGGGGCACCCTGCCGCCCGGCAACTCCCAACACCTGCCCGGACCCCCCTGTGGAGTGATCTGTGAGCTCTTTTTACCCCACTAGAAACCTATCAGTCTTCGCTGTTAGGTAACAATACAAAATCAACATTTTTTTTTCCTCTCGACATGGACGTCCTGTCGTCCACGGCGATAATCCATTGCAGAAAATACCACAAAGAGCACACGCGCGCGTTCATGTCAGAATCCTACCGAACACCGTGTGTTTGCAAGCATTTCAATCAAAAACATAAAAAACCCAATGCTTTTCCACAGAAAATCTACACATTTCCTGCCCGGGCTCTCTTGCTGAAATCATAGGAAAACCATAGGAATCTTAAGAATTCTGTCAAATCCAGCGATTTCACGTCATCGCGCGGTGCACTCGCGATGCTCTGTCATGCACCCAGGCCGCGAATCCTGTGCAAAAAATACCACGCGGGCGACATGCGCGCGCGTCGCCGCGAGCGCATGCTCAAATCCTTCTAGAGTCGTCGCCGTCATTGGCACCGTCGCATGGACGTCCTGTCGTCCACGTCGCAAAATGCATGGCAGGAATGGGACCCGGCTTACCGGGCCGTTCTCGACACGGCCACCTCTGGCTTCCTGCGGTGTACCGGGCCATTCTCGACTCGTCTGGCAATGCGTGCGCGGCATTCAACACGCGCTCGCCAGTTCCCGTCGGCAACCGCCATCGCGGCCGCATCAGCTGTACCAAACCGGCTGGCCGGTGTGACTTCGGCCCCCAGTTGTGCCAGCTTTGCTTCCTATGTTGTGGGAGCGCGGGTGGGACTGGGCATGCCATGCTTGACTCGCTCGAGCTGGCTAGCTTGACTCCTACTCCTACTCCTCCTCCTCCTGCCCTCCTCCCGTCCGTGTGCTCCTGCTGTTCCTCCTCCCGCCTCCTCCGCCTCCTCCTCCTCCTCCTCCTCCTCCTCCTC